TTATACTAACTCTTAGTTACAAATGAGATTACTGCTTTTATATAGACATCCTCCCATCCAATAGACGGCTAGAATGCATTATAATTGATAGCTAAGATTTTCTCTTCCAAAATATCCTAGATATTCATAAGTTTTTTTATATCACTTACTACACTTAAAAAATATTCTCTAATCTACGTATTACTATAGACTTTCAAGAATCCTCTATCATTTTAGAACACATCACAATTTTCAATACAAGTGAACTCTCTCCACGTACCTATGCAATGTCCCTACTTTTATATATATATATATATATATATATATATATAGATGCCAAGAAAGGGGGAGTTGGTATCTTGTGAGATTTTTGTAATTTTTCCTTATAATGTTGGGCGATGGAAGTGCTAAGGGAGGAAAGGGAATGGAAGGTGATGGAAGGGGATTAAAAATTTGTGTTTGGCAAAAATTATTAGAAGGAAAGAGAAAGGAAGGGAAGGGTTTGGAGGGTTAACACAAGCCTTCGACAGTAAATTTATTAACCTCCCAAAGATGGGAGGAAATGAAGGGAAAGGAAAGAGAGGCTTGGTGTGTGATTTCAGATGCCAATTTTGCCCTTGATTACATGTGAATTTAGTTTGCAAAACAAGAACTACAGACCTTGATTACTTGATTTAGCTGTTGCAGAGAGAAAGGGAGGTAAGCTTAAGTTGAGAGAAAGAGGGCCAGCGGTTGAAGCTTGCAAACGGCGAACCCGAATTGGAACAGCGGGCGATGGAATCTGAAATTGGGTTTTGATTTTTTGAACAATCTGAAATGATGCCGATATGGGTTTTGAAGTTTTGATTCTTGCAGACAAATATAGAAACTAAAATATATGGGTTTTGAACTTCTGATTCTTGTAGTAGTTTGCAGTTGGAGAAAGAGAGAGAGACAGAAATGGCAAGTTTATAGTTGAAAACAAGAATAGAGATGGAGGCTAAAATGATTTGCCTTAAAAAAAAAATTCATTTTCTGGTGGCCGATCGCGTTTCTATAGGAGACAATTTTATATATATATATATATATATATATTTGTCCCCTTTTTATATTTTAAAATATAAATTTATTTATATATATATATATATATATATATATATTTATATTTTAAAATATAAAAGGGCATAATAGTAAATTTATTAAAATAATTCTCCTTCCTTTCCTTTCCTTCATTTTCTCAAACATGATTATTATCCTTCCCTTTTTTTTTCATTCAATAATTAACCAAACACAATACTAAATTAAAATTATCCTTCCCTTCCCTTTCTTTCCCTTTCCATTTCCTTCCCTTTCTCTCGTAACTAATGTTATCCTTCCCCTTCAAACCCACCCTACCAAACATAGCCTAAAGGTAAAGCCCCTATGAGGAAACGTCCTCGAGGCTGTGCTCAGCAAATTCACTGTGATCAAATTGGAAACACACACTCACACAATCTCACTCACAGCGCTCACTACTCACCACTCACCATAAGTTCACTCTGAACTCACCCTGTCCACATCACCCTAATGCTTGGACTCTCACCAATCTCACTACAAATTATTATAGCACTCTCCTGTTTACAACATTTTCATGCTTGAACCAAATGCTCACAAGTACAGCTCATAGTGAAATGATAAATAATGTTCAGCTTCAATCCTTGCTTTGAAAAAGACTCAGATAGCTTCACTACTTCTTGCTTCTCTGCTCAAGGTCGACTCAGTTCCTCACGAGACACTCTAGTGGCATACATCAATGTTATAACAGATGGAGCATTCGGTTGAGACATCTTCAGGGTTTTGGATTCTTTACTTTGACGGGTCAAACTCATATATGTTGGGGATAATTAACTCCCTCCAACCCACTCAATGGTCAGCTGTTGTTGAGAGTTAAATTTCTCCTTCATCACATACAGCAGAAACATTATCACATCACATCAACACAAGCATATATGGAGATAACAATCACACACATCTACGCACAATACAATATTTTACACGGTTCACCAAAATCTAGGGATACGTCCATGGGAGAGAGAGATTTCTCTATTATGAATCAAGGAAGAAAATATAAAACCACATGTCAAAACCCCACTCACTTACTCATCATCTCTTTTGAGGCTACGTGTATACACTCGGGAATTACATATACTCTCCCCTCTCCTTATAGCACTCACCCTTAAACCCCTTACATCTTCTCTCTCTCTCTCTAAAACCTCTCATACCCATCTCTATTTATAAAGTTTTCAAAACTCAATTCCTTATTAGACAAGTATTACTCAAATCCAATTCCTTGTTAAACAATGATCAACTTACCTACAAGGAGTTACCATATCCATCTTCAACTCTAAAACAACAGGCGTAACTTATTTCCCAAATCTTTAGCCTTTTTCCACAAGTCTTCTGGATTCCAAAACCAATCAGGAAACTATTTTTCTCAGCTTCCAAAACGAAAAAAAGAAACTCATTTTCTACGCACAAATTTTGAGCCACAAACCCAACAATCTCCACCTTTGCTCAAAATTCAATCTTCACGTGCTTCTCTATAGCTCCACCTTGAACAGGGATCTCTTCATAGCTCCACCTCAAGCTCTTCATAGCTCCACCTCAACTGAAAAATTCTCTACCTTAAATAAAGCACTATGATGAACTTGAGAAACGCTCTAACAATCTCCACCTTTTCTCAAATTCATCATTCTTCATTTTTTTCTATCTTCTCTATCCATCTCATTGGTGTTCAATTGCTCACGCATGATAACCCACCAATCTTCAAACTCATCTTCATCAATTGTTTTTCTGAATTAAAGAAATAAACCTCTCCTCTTCACTCATCATATTCCCCTTTGCTCTTTATCAGGCTTAGAGCAAACCCCTTCATTATTCACACCCCTTGCCCCATCTTGAGAACTAGCACCTACTCTTGACTTGTCCTCAAAACTTGTTCCTCGTGGGCTTCACCTCTATCACCTTTGCCCCATCTTGAAAACGAGCATCTTCTGGCTTGTCACAAGACTTGTTCCTCAAGGGCTTCACGCTATCACCTTCTTCATACCTTCATGTCATCATCAACTTTGATTGAATCTCCATAGCACCTCGCTATCATCCTCTGCTCTGACAAACTTCGCAGCAATCTTCTTATACTGATCTTCAGGACCAATTACAGGCTCTGACCCACCATCGACTCTAATACCAGTTGTTGGGGATAATTAACTCCATCCAACCCATTTAATGGTCGGTTGTTGTTGAGAGTTAAATCCCTCCTTCATCACACACAGCGAAAATATCATCACATCACATTAACACAAGCATATATGGAGATAACAATCATACACATCCACTCACAACACAATATTTTATATGGTTCACCCTACTCTAGGGTTATGTTCATGGGAGAGAGAAATTTCTCTATTATGAATCAAGGAAAAGAATATACAACCACATGTCAAAACCCCACTCACTCACTCATCATCACTTTTGAGGCTACATGTATACACTCGGGAATTACATATACTCTCCCCTCTCCTCATAGCACTCACCCTTAAACCCCTTACATTTTTTCTCTCTTCTCTCTCTCTCTCTCTCTCTAAACTTCTCACACCCATCTCTATTTATAGAGTCTTCAAAACTCAATTCCTTATTAGACAAGTATTCCTCAAATCCAATTCCTTGTTGGACAAGGATCAACTTACCTACAAGAAGTTACCATATCCATCTTTAATTCTAAAATAGTAGGCATAATTTATTTCCCAAATCTTTAGCCTTTTTCCCCAAGTCTTCTGGATTCCAAAACCAATCAGGAAACTATTTCTTGCACTTCCAAAAAAAAAAAAAAAAAACCCTAATTTTTTGCGCACAAATTTTGAGCCACAAACCCAACAATCTCCATCTTAGCTCAAAATTCAATCTTCACGTGATTCTCCATAGCTCCGCCTTGAACAAATATCTCTTCATAACTCCACCTTAAACTCTTTATAGCTCCACCTCAACTGAAAAATTCTCCACCTCAAATAAAGCATTATGATGAACTTGAGAAACACTCTAACAATATATTACTCATATTGTTTTTTCCTCATTTGCAACCGCAGTGTAACGGATTCAGACAAAATCAATCAAAACTGACCGATATGATTCGCGTATCAAAATTATAAAAAAATCGCGTATCGAACGATACGATAAACCATAATTGCTCTTGCAGGTTGGGTCTCCCATATCACTCACAATTGGTTCTTCTTTAACTCTGCTTCATCTGCTTTAAATACTTGGGAGAATTGATCTTTATATGTATGTATCACTTAAAGTGGTGGCCAAGTTTTCCTTGCCACATCACATCAGCAAACGTGCACATATTTGATACAGAATGAAGACTTGAAAGCCCCTACAAATATTATTCTGAATCATATGCAAATTGTTGAAAATATGTGATGGTAATAAAATAAAAAAATTAAAATATATAGTTTTTTTTGTGTAAAAATAAAATAAAAATATGAGAGAACGACAATGAAATTAAAATTACATCACAAGTTGATCTCAATAGTTCCAATGCAGTCAATACTGCACTTTGCACGTATTTGTTTGGCAGTTGAGATTCTGAAGGTAGCAATGTTCATATTGTGTAATGAATTTTATTTTTATTTTTTAACCCAACTGGTATAGAAACCAACGGTTAGTCGCAAATCAAATAAAAGGAACACAAGTGCTTTGGTCAACATTTTGATTTCTTAGTTTCTCCTAGGCTTTCCTCATTTTAGACCTCGCATACCTGAAGAGCAGTTAGCACCACAATCCAAGTGCTTCGGTCAAAATATGATTTACCTATTTTCAGTTTTCAAAAACTTATTAAAATAGTTTTTTTTTGTTTTCGAACTGTTTTAAAAAAATTCAGTTAAAAAAAAACTCTGGTTTTGAATTTTTTAAAATAAATTTTAGGTTCCTATTTTTACCCAAAAAAAATTCACCAAACCGCTTAAAACAGGACCCTAGCTTTTTGGACCTTAGCTTTTCAGCCTTTTTGACAAGATCCGTTCTCCTTCTAAAAAATCAAAAATTAAGTTTTCAAATGCATGATTGCCGAAACTTTTGTCCTCCAAATAGAGATACATTGATTGCATTATTGTTTTTCAAAATTCCAGAGCTACCTGTTGGTTGTTAGATTTTTTTTTTTTTTTTTTCATTTTAAAAAATACAAAGTATTTTCTCTGGTAATACTGTCTCTTCTAACTTCTCAAAAGTCACAAGTCTCGCATACATAGGACGAGTTACGGAATATTAAGATGAAAAACAAGCAACAAAACAATAAAAGAGATGTTAAAAAAAAAAAAAAAAAAGCCCTAATTTTAGTGGAACACAAACAAATTGAAAGTGTTGCAAGTTGCAACTGAAAACAGAACACTACTACTACTAAGTCGAAGAAGAAGAAGAGGCGACGCCACCGCCTCCGGCCAACAAGCCACCGGCTTCGGCGGCTTCTTCGTCCAAGAACAAGTCGTCAGTCTTCCTCAGAGCGGCGTGAACCAGCACAACCACCGCTGCGATCAACAGTGACACCAGTAAGTTGACCGTCGCGTTAGTCAAGAAGAGGAAAACGAGCGTGAGAACCGAGAGCACGATCAGCACCACACGATCGTTGATCGTGCGGTGGAAAACCACCAGAGGCTCGTCCCGGAGGAAGTAGAGGAACACCCAGGCGGCCATCATGACGACGAACACGATCATCGAGATCGGGTGCCAGAGGAGGCTGAGGAAGATGATCAAGAGGACGACGATGGCGTAGTTCATCCGGAAGTAGGCGACGTTCGTTCTGATCCGTCCGAGTGCGTCGTTGAAGGTCGCCGGGAGGTTGATTGACCGGAAGTTGAACATCTCTTTCCACGGCCGTCGATCTCCAAGGCCCGATGCCAGCCGCTCCTTCACGCGGGAAAGGTACTCCAGGTTTGAACCTCCCGGAGATGACGTCGGTATCGTCCCATACGTCGTCGTCGCCGCCATTTCGGACGATTCTCCGGCGAATGTATGTCAATTTCTCTCTCCCGCGATCAAGTGTGTTTGGGAAGACGAGAAGAATAAGAAGGAAGAAAAGGCGGTGTAAATGAGAACGCGTAACGACGTGATATAGTGAATATATTAAGTCAAGAGGTCCTATACAATGCGGCTGAGGTGTATCCATTATCATGGAAACTCTCTAGACGAAAAGAAAAAGAAAATAGAAAATAAATGTGTCAAAGAAATAAAATAAGTTTTTAAATAAAAATTGTAAGAAAGAGCATTAAACTCCCTTGAACTATTTAGTCATTTGCGAGAAATCCTCCTGAACTACAAAAAATCCCTCTGAACTATGATTTTGTTATAATTTACCCCCTTGAACTATTGGTCATTTGCAAGAAATCCCCCTGAATTACCAAAAACCCCCTATGAACTATAATTTTGTTGCAATTTACCTCCCTGAATTATGATTTTGTTGCAATTTACCTCCCTGAACTATGATTTTGTTACAATTTACCCCCATGACATCAGCTTCCGGAACCGAAAATTTTGAAAGACCAGTTTACCCTTATCACTTCGTCGTTTTAACTTATACACTTCTTACATTTTTTTTTTTTTCTTGCCAAAAGATGTTTTTCACCCAACACAACCTAAAATAAAAGAGCTAGAGAGAGAGAAAAGACCAAAGAAATCCGAGGTCGGCGGGATGGCTCGGTCTCTGATGAAGGCGGCTTGTGCGCAGAAAAGTCGGCTGTGATGAGAGCTCGGTTGACTTGGTCGTGAACTGTGGAGGCGACAACGAGCTTAAGGGGGCTCGGGTGGTGAACTGTTGACGGCTGTGTGCTCGAAACACGGACGGCGGTATGCTCGGCTATGGAGATGGCGGAATGGGCCGGCGAGCTTAGAATGGACGGTGGAATGGACCGGCAAGCAAGGTGCGCTGAACAGGGGGCAAGGTGGTGACGGCGATGGGCTGACGCAACGGTGCAAAGAAATGCAATATATATGGCCGACGGATTTGACGGGTGGTGCAACGACTATAATGGAGCTATGTCAGGAAACCCACCGATCCCAGAAACAAATTCCTCGACTTCATCGTTCCTTTCAGTCAATTAATTCGCGCAGATGGGGTAAACTGCAAAAAAATATATAGTTCATGGAGGTTTCTTGCACATACCCTAATAGTTCAGGGGGTTTTTTTGCAACTTTTATAGTTCAGGAGTTTTTTTGCACATACCCCAATAGTTCAGGTTTTTTTTTTGCAACTTTTATAATTCAGGGGTTCTTACACATACCCCAATAGTTCAGGGGTTTAATGCACTTTATCCTAATAATAATAATAATAAAATATAATTAAAGTTATATATTATACTAAAATACCCTTAGTCATGTTAAATTTTACTAATTCTATATATATATATATTTTAAAGGTAAAAAGTAAAAACACACACACCATTTTATTAATGTCCAGATTCGAAGCATATCCTTCCTTTAAACTTGGTCGGATTCGGATCTGATCAGTCCTGATCCAATCTGATAAGTCTATTATCAATCCAATCCCATAATTCAATGAATATTTTATGAATAAATCCATATTTGATATGTTTATTAAATAGATATTCGATCCAATAAGGGTGTCATATTATATTTTATTTTGGTAATAGAAATTTGTTAAAGAATAAACAATTAGGAGTAGAGGGGTGGGGGAAGAAAGTGTTGATAAGAATTTTTTTTTGATGATACACATCACAACACTATATTATACTCCATTGGTCTCAAATTGAATGTCCACCTTTCTATTTTTGATTACCTCAAAATAAATGTTTCATTTGAAAAGTTAATTTTTTTTTCTTTTTTTGTAACATTGCCGATTTAACATTTTTACATTAAACTTATAAAAAGTAAATAATCACATCTTGTAGATCCACATATATTTAGTAATTCATTCACTACTAATATAATAAAAATATATATTAAAATTCATCCACTTACAAAATTAGATTCCAAAAGGGGACATTTAATTTCCGAGGGATTATATATTTAACACATTATATAATTTTCTATGTTGGATACTTGGATTAGATTGACTATAATACATATATGATATATTTAAATTTTAGATTATGGGATTGCCCATATCGGAGTTGTAAATCCAATGCATTAACAGATATTCTCTCTAAGATGAGAAAGTTATACCGTGGAATGTCCTTCAGTAATTCTAAATGAATTTGTCTCTAACAATATATATTTTTTGTTTTAAAATAATAAAGGTGATATTAAAATTTTATTAAATAGATTTATACAACATTGGGAAAGAGAAATACTGACTATCATAGCATATCTTTTAAAAAAATAAATAAAATAAAATTGTGACAGTTTATTTTAGTCAAATAAAAAGGTGATTATAAAACTAAATCATAATGTGGAGTGAAGCCTGAAGGACTCTGCATAAAGATGATCAGGGGATGGAGGGCTTAGATCGATGGGGTATGATGAGGGGTGATGGAGGGTTGATACAGGGTGGTGGTGTGATTGTGAATTATAGTAGTACAACTCATAATATGATATACGGAGTTGTTGTATATAGAGACCCGGCTTTTCAACTACCCTTCTTAAGGGGGATAAGGTGGGGACAAGACCACACCAATCGTTGTTGGGACGGCGACGAAGTAAAGACGGCAAGATAGCAACGAGGCCGGTCAGCCCTACCACGTGGCATGTTGGATGCTCACTGTAAAAGTTGTCAATGTATTTTATTAAGAATAATATCTTTTGTTGTGATTGCCAAAAGCGAACCTATACGTGGTAGTAGGTTAGGGTAAAAAAACATTATCTAATTATTAGCTATTATTAGTGCACAAACGAAATCAGTCAAGTCAATTTCAACCCGATGGTGCATGTGTCTCGGCAGTCCGTTAATGTCTCCGTGAAATTTGAAATGTCAAATTTCAATTATCTAGGTTAATTAATGTTTTTAGTAAATTTGAAAATATCAAAATTTAACTCTCTATTTTTATTAATCTAACATCATCTTGGGTTAAGAGTTATGCTATCCCTCAAAAAATAAGTTTCAACAAAAGTTGAAAACATAAACTCACTACCGATGAAAGTTAAAAATTCAATAGTGGTTGTGAATTCAAAATGAAAGATGATCGTTGAACACTATAAAAATTGGGAATTTCGCTTGAAATCTGATAGAAGTTTGGCCCTCCATTTTCGGAGGATAATTATTTTTCTATGTTTAATTAAAGAGGAATGTAAGGGGCAGACTATTTATAGTCACATATCTAATTGGTTGAAATACCAACCATGAAAGTCATCATTAATATGTCTTTCTTATCTTTACGGAACTTTAAAACATAAATTTTTAGGATTAAATTACCCTTTAAAATTCTATTCTTTTTTCTGGTGCATATACACATACATACACACACACACACACACACACACATATATATATATATATATATATATGTATTCTTTATTCTTTCCTTTATGATTGTTTTTTTTCCTTTTTTCCCTCTCCTCTCTAAAATTCTTTCCTTTATGATTGTTTTTTTTTTTTCTTCCTTTTTTTCCCTCTCCTCTCTAAATTCATATATTCGTGAATGATTCAGAAAGAAGAAAAATAAGAAACATAAAATCCTAATATGAAAGGATTCTTCCTTTTTTTTTTTTTCTTTCATTTCCATTATATGTGATGGATATGATAAAATAATTAAAAACCCAAAGTGGGTTTGGGGTGGAGGCGGATTTAGTGATAAACCTACCCCACTTGAGACGGATATGGTAAAATAATTAAAAACCCGAAACGGGTTTGGGATAGAAGCGGATTTAGTGATAAACCCACCCCGATTATATATATGTACCTTAATTTATATATATATATATATATATATATATATATATATATATATATATAATATAATATAATTTTAAGACTCTTGTTACTTCGCTATTTATTTGCTCATTTTGAGCACATTGGGGTAGTTTTTTTTGCTAAATAATAAAAGTAATATAACTCGCTCCACCCTCGCAATTAAACGGAGTAGGTGGGTGGACTTGGTATTTTGTCTGCCAAAGTAAGGGCGGGGATAGTATACAAATTACAAACCCCTCTCGGAATAGGGGCGAAGTTGGTATGACGAATTTTTTAACAGGATTTAGCTAAATCCGCCACAATATCTACTATTTCATACACTATCTAAAACTGAAATTCTACAATTTTACTTCAACCAAAACTCAATCTCATAATATTACTTCAATTAAATGATAAAAACCCAATCCATCAAGAGAGCATATATAAAAGGGGATTTTTTCAATTACAAAGAAAAGAATGAAGATTATATTTATGTTTGTATATATATATATATATATGCAAAGTTTATGTTTTAAGGTTTCATAAAAATAAGAAAGACACATTAATTATGACTTTCATAATTGTTATTTTAACCAATTAGAGATGCTGACCGTGAATGGATAATAGCTTGCGCGATTGCCCTAACACTCCTTTAAATTAAAACTCATTTGGGAGTCAACCTAAAAATAAGCAATTTAAGTTGAATTAAGTGTGGTATTTAGCTCAAAAAGAAAGAAAAATAAAATTAATTATTATTAACAATTTTTAATAATTTGGGTCGCACACCAAGTCACCAACCCTTTATGAAGTATAAGCTTGAGTTGTTGGGATTTGGTTTTTTAATAAATGAGTTGAAAATACTGATCAAACTCCATTCAATTATTAATAATTAAATGCATACTATTTGCTTCTCATGATAGAAGTTCAAATCAATGCAAAATTGAGTTTGAAATAAAATTTGGGTTGGGATTAATAATTGAATGCATGCTATTTGCTTCTCATGATAGCAGTTCAAATCAATGCAAAATTGAGTTTGAAATAAAATTTGGGTTGGGATTTGAAAATGCACCACTGAAGATTTGGTACATCTTTACTACAAATCTTTTTAGTTGCTACGTAGTCAATTAACGTCTAGCAGATGGAAGATGCCATTTCCATCTAGTGGTTTGTGACTTTTTGGTGTGGGCATCATAATTTGGGGGAGCACATTATATACCAAGTGGTGGTCACTTTCTACCATTATTGACCATT